AGTTGTTAAAATGATTTCAGGAATTCGGATTTAACGAGGTCGGTGCTTTAATAATGGGATGAATGTTGCAGCAAAAATCCCCATTGATGCAGTTCAACAGGAAATATTGAATTGCATAAACAATTATTAGTCATAACAAGAGATCCGTAGCCCAAGTGGGGCCGAACTGACGAATATTATTGTGACTTAAAGTTTATGAAATGAATACCTATGTGAAAGTGATACCTATATATTTTAGATTAGGTACTTTAGAGAGTGACTTGAGTAAATTGAAACGGTCCCTAGTTTTCAAAATTCATCATTCTCGGCTCAGAATGAATGAATTAGTGTATCGTTTTATTCTGTCTGAATTGGTTCTCAGATTTTCTAACATGTCCTTCTATATAATCAGTAATGGTTTTAACTATTAAAGTGAAGAGTACCTATTATTTAAAGTTTTTAAATTTTAGAACAAACAATTAGCCATCAAATTAAGTTTTAATTTATGTGGACCGCAGCCCTGAAGTTTTGTTTTATATGAACCGCAGCCCTCAAGTTTTGTTTTATATGGACCGCAGCCCTTTTGTATCATGACCGCAGCCAAAAATTTAAGTTTTATATGGACCGCACCCCAGCCATCATAGATTTAATTTATGTGGACCGCAGCCCTCAAGTTTTGTTTTATATGGACTACAGCCCTTATTAATCATGACCGCAGCCATCAAATTTAGTTTGTTGCAATAGCATCTGTCTGTGCTTTGGCACATGACTACAGCCTCAGCTGCTCTTGACCAGCAACTGTGATCCTTTGCTGTCCGTTAATCTTCTTCAGTGGCTAACATCTCATTACCTCAAATGGCCCTTTGTATCTTGCCTTTAGTTTGCCACCTCCAATTTGACTTTCTTCTATTAGTACTCGGTCGGCCACCTGGAATGGCTTTGCCACTGTTCTAGTTTTATTCATTCGCTTTATAATTTCTTCTCTCATTTTTCGTAGTCTTTTATTTGCTGTTTCTTCTAGTTCGCTGTTGATCTTATTTTAAAGCGACGATCCGTCCCGATTTAGGCGGGACAGTCCCGATTTCGAGCTACGAGTCCCGATTTAATAAGCGTCCCGCTTTTGTCCCGCTTTCAATAAATTCCAACTAACAACTTTCTATTATTAATTTATTTTTTCTATGAGTATTGAATAATATGCGAAATATACATCCATTTTCTATTGATCAATATGAATGATTACTCATATACGAATTTTTCAGCGTGCGTAGTTCTCCACATGAACATATGAGATCCGCATGTCAGTCAGTCCAATAGCGGTGGGTGTGGGTGTAGGAGTCTGTGGAATTCGTCGGAAAAACTATGAAAAAAGTTAATAATCTGAACATGAAAATTTGTTACAATGTTAATTTTTGATAATTAAACGTGAAAATATTCGTCAGTCACGCTTCCAACGGGGGAAACATCGTCAGTCAGAGGTTTGAAGCAGTCGGAAAAGTTGGAAAATTCAAGTGACCGATCTTCACTTAAAATTTAATGGATTGATTATTTGATTCAAATCAAGCATGAAAATGAACGTCAGCCACCTTTATCGTGGTGGATTCTGCGTCAGTCGGGTTTCCAAAGTCGAGGGTAGTGACCAGGTTTCTTTGGTGTCTGACAAATAATCCACCAGCCGTGTGCCGACTGACAATTGTTTATCGAATGTCTAAGACAATTCTCAACTTACAGGAGAACGGAAAAAAACTGCAAGAGACGTTTATTATAGAATGTCCACAAGATCCTCTTCGGTTTGAGAGAGCGTTGAAGAAGAATAAAATCCTTTCGTTTGCAGATGTAGTAGAAAAGGAGAAGATGAACGTCAATGGAAAAATTGTCGAGGTAAAATTGCAAAGAGATTTGTTTGGAAAGCTCTTGAGAGTATCGTTGGAGAAAACATTGAACACCTATCGAAAAAGTTTTGACTTACCCCTTAACTCCAGTTCCTTTAGCGTTTTGCCACTTGGAAGGAGCAATATGTAAAACCGATAATCCGTTTTACTGCATATTTTGGAGAAAGAAGTGGAAAGTCATGAGCCCGAATAATGTGACAGTCCACGCTATGACAGAAATTCCTGTATCTTTTGGAAACATTTCACAGAAAATCTTACATTCTTTCACTACGAACCCCGCAAAAACCATCATTATTGCGTTCGATCGTACGTTTCCCCATCGATAAAAGATAAAGAGCACATTATGCGTGGAAGAGTAGAGGGAAATCGTTTTACCATCAATGAACCTCAGCAGAAACGATCATCGAATTTTAAAAACGATTTGAATAATACTTATTTTAAGGGAGCGTTGGTGAGATTTTTATGTGAACATTGAAATCAGGACCATATGAGTCCTTACTTTGGTGACCGAACTGTTTTCGTAAACCATGAGAAATGTTTCAAGTTCGAAGTCATTGATAATAAAGTTGTCAGAACAGTAGAGGAAGATTTGTCATGCTCTGAACATTTGGAAGCTGACTCTAATAGTTATTTGTGTACCAAGGCCGTAAAGTTGATCTTTTTTGGCCGAATCAGAAATTTGCGGCCGAGGCGTAGCCGAGGCCAAGCAAATTTCAGGTGAGGCCAAAAAAGATCATTCGGCCGAGGTGCACACAAAATTTTTTAGGCGAGTGTAAAAAAGACGAAAATTCAACAATAGCTTTGAAGTTTTATTGATCAAATAAATAATCCAGCAAAGATAGGTAGATACATAATTATTAGTAACAAAAACTACGATTAAGAAAGTGTGATTATAGAAAATTGCCGACTTTTTCGCCTGGTATCCTACATTGTGCTTTTTTAAAAAAGCAATCAATTTGAAAACTTGCTGATATGTTATTTTCGACTATAATTGTAAATTTTAACATAGAGTATACATAGGTGGATCCAGATTATATGGAAATTTGGATAGAGCTAAAATTAAAAATTTGGTTTCATTGTGGTTGCTAACTAATTGTCTATTGGTTATGTTGATGGTTACGGCACCACGTTTTGGATTGTCTGTTTATTTGCCCCAAAGTAGCGGCCGTAAAGTAAAGGCGGCCGTGAAGTAACAGCGGCCGTAAAGTAATAAAGTAAATGCGGCCGTGAAGTAAATGCGGCCGTGAAGTAAATGCGGCCGGGAAGTAAATGCGGCCGTAAAGTAGTGTTTCACAAGACAAGATTTCTTGTCTTGCTGGGCCTATTCTTGTCTTGTCTTGCAAAACAAGACAAGAAATGAAATTCATTCTTGTCTTGCCCGACTCTTGCAGAAAAAAATCTTGTCTTGCAAACAAGATTTCTTGCAATTTCTTGTTCTTGTATTATTTGTTTTGTGTCGTCATAGCAAGAGTCTTGCTTGCAAGAGTCTTGTTGCAAGATTCTTGCTGCAAGATTCTTGCTGCAAGACTCTTGCATCATTCATTACGTTCAAAAGCGTTTCGGGGGCGTGTGTGGTAGCAAAACACGACAATTTTCTACCATCCACACACGTCGGTTTTGGAGCGACGTTTTCATCATAGTTTGGAGGGCTCTTAAGATTATGATTGGTGTCATTGTCATTGATAACGTGGTTGCCATCTTTCCTGGTTTAAAGCCTTTTTTTTCGAGGAAACAGATTCAAAAAGCCTTTTTTCTACAAACATCACTAAAAGGGTCATTTTTAACGGATATTGTCAGTGTCTAAAATACCATTTTATGACACTGGTGTTAAAAGTGATTACTTTTAGCACTGAGTGCTAAAAGTAATCACTTTTATTGGAATTGTAGAAAAACTAGTGTATGATATTCGTGCTAAAAGTGACATTTTATTTTGAGAAAAGGGAAGTTTGGGACACGACGCCGAAGTCGGAGTGTTCCATCCCTTTGAAGAAATAACTATTTTCTACGCACTGAGTGCGGAAAAGTAGAATACCTGAAATTCTTAGGTACACAGGTACTTACAGGCATACAGGTACACTACAGGTACAGGTAGGAAAAAGTGCAAAAAATATCTTAAATTGATAAATATGTAGGTTATAATATTAACTTTCATCTCGTAGAAAAAATAGTGTTCCTAACTCTCGCGGAATGTCTCTTTTCCGCACTTGATTGCTTGCCGAACTCTTCTGCGCGTCGTTCGGCAAACTGCAATCGCGTGCGGAAAAGTGGTACTTTCCGCACTAGTTAGGAAATATACTGTTAAAACAGTTTCAGCTCTAACGTCACTATTTTATGCACTACAATGCTAACAGACCTTAAGAAAAATTCGACTTGATTCTTTGACGGTTGAAAACGAAAAGGCCTTCACATTGAGCTTAAATTCAATTTTGTGTGTGCAGTGTCGTTGTCCATCATGACCAAAAATTTTCCTAGCCATACTTGCTGCATGAACTGTTAAAAACTGACATCTGTTTGAGTGTTTTGAAACTAGAATTTCAAAACGTTTTGTCGCAGAAAAATGCCTTGAACATTACAAACTGACATGCTGACATTTTTATCTCGTTGTTAACTGCCAAAATTACTTCAAAAATATGCAGAGAAGGAGACTTCATTTTTTTGCAAGAGTCTTGCAGAATAATTTCTTGTCTTGCTTGGCAACTTCTTGTCTTGTCTTGCTTTGCAAGACAAGAAATTTAAGAGAGTCTTGTCTTGTTCTTGCAGCAAGAACAAGACAAGAACAAGAAATTTGCAAGAATCTTGTGAAACACTACCGTAAAGTAAATGCGGCCAAAAAAGATATACTTTAGGGATGATATTGAATCCGTAAAACTTATCATTTTGTGACAGTCGCCTAAAAAATATATTAAAAAAATAGGTGAAGACTTATTGAGTGAAGCGTTGCCAGCTTTCCATGCTTTTACTGGATGCGACTTCAATCCCGCTTTCTATCGTAAAATTCGTAAAGGAAAAAAAAAGCCTTACGAACTTCTAAAAAAATCAAGAAATTATATCGATACCTTTATTGCTATTTCACAATGGTATGATGATGATTTGAGTGAACATTTTTCTGTTTTGGAGTGTTTTGTATATCAAATGTATGGGTACAGAACATTGAAAGATTTTAACTCAGCTCGTTTGGCAACGTTCATGAAGACATACAAAATCGAAGATAATGAGGCTATTCTGAAAACAAAAAGCAATTCCGAACGGTCAGCTTTACCGCCGTGTAAGTCTAAATTATAACAGCATTTCTTAAGAACTTCGCACATTGCGCAGATGTGGTCTCATGCTTCGCAGCACATAGCAACTATAACTATAGTCCGATTGATTATGGCTGGCAAGAAGAAGATGGAAAATATATTTTCAAGTGGTTCGATGGAGAACAGTTGCCTGACCTTCAAGATATCACCGATGATTTATCAAAAAATCTAACAGGTAATCAAAAATTTCATTTCACGTGACTGATCTATTATCTGTTTTCACTGTAAAAATCCGTATTATTTACATATTGTCAAGAAGATGCTGACGGAGACGAAGAGTCATCAGATTATGACGATGACGATGACGATGAAAGCTCTACAGAAGAGTCGGACATCCAGAGTGATAGTGAAACCCATTAATTTCATGAGATTTTTGTATTTTGTATTAGTAATAAAAAAAGAATGATATTTCACCGAACACAATATTTTAATTTAGAAGAATAGTGGTAGTAACTGTTCATGAATTGAATTTAGTTATTTATATCACATTAGAATTGATCAAAAAATAACAAAATCTCATGCACATTCAATAAACAATCGTCAGTCGAACTGCATAAGATGCAGCGTGCCAAAGAAACCTGGTCACTGCCCTCGACTTTGGAAACCCGACTGACGCAGAATCCACCACGATAAAGGTGGCTGACGTTCATTTTCATGCTTGATTTGGATCAAATAATCAATCCATAAAATTTAGAGTGAAGATCGGTCACTTGAATTTTCCAACTTTTCCGACTGCTCCAAACCTCTGACTGACGATGTTTCCCCCGTCGGCAGCGTGACTGACGAATATTTTCACGTTTAATTATCAAAAATTAACATTGTAACAAATTTTCATGTTCAGATTAATAACTTTTTTTCATAGTTTTTCCGACGAGTTCCACAGCCTCCCACACTCACAGCCACCGCGGTCGCGCTGACTGACTTTCAATTTTAATCACAGTTATGGTGAAACTCTCCAATAAACCACATTTGAGTCGGAGATAAATCACTAATAAAAAAGTGACACTACCTCCTGGACTAATATACAGTGAGTTTTTTTTTTCATTACTCAATTGTTTTCAACCAATGAAAATATCCTGGTCTCATTACTCCACTATCTAAGAGCCAATCAGCAAATTCGACAAGTGGGCAACATACTTCAACCTTCCAATCGGTTGTTTTGACAACTGATTTAGGCCGTGTTTATGTTGGAGCTGTGATAAACGATAAAAGCAACGATACTATTGATACTTTACATTAGTATCGTTTCTTTTATCGTTTATCACAGCTCCAACATAAACACGACCTTGGATAAGACTTGTGCTAACCTAACCTCACTCTGTCAATTAATTTTGTTATGAAAATTAAATAAAAAAACCGTATAACTCGTGCCTATTATCTATTAATCATAGAAAAAGTATAGTATTCTACTCGTGGGCAATGGCTATTGCTCACTTGAATGATTACACTACTCGCCTGCGGCTCGTAGTGCAAACTTCATCCTTCGTGAATAATAGCCATCATTACCCGCTCGTTGAATAATATACTATTAAATCAATTTAAAAATACTATTTCGTTCAATAGTTATATTCAATCTTAATACATATTTTGTATAACTACATAAGTAATTTTGTTTATCACTACACAGTACCCAAAAAAACTACAACTGAAAATGAAAACGAGATTTTTGAGAACTTTGTGACTTTGTCCCGCTTTTGGACTTTCAAGATCTGGTCACTTTATCTTATTTCCTTTTGATACTTCTCTAAGCATCTCTTGAACTGCCTTTAACCTTGTCTTCTGTCCAAACATTAGCTCATAATGACTTGCTCCTATTGTTTTGTTTGCAAGAGCATTGTACTCTTCTTCTATCTTAGGCAACTCATTTACCCATTGTTTTTCATCTCTTTAATTGAGGGTTGCTCTCATATCATCATGTTGTACAGGGTTCGCATCACCTGTTCAACCGGTCCATTGCCCCTTGATACTTGTCGCCACTAGGTGCAATTCTATTTCATTTTCTTGCAAGAATTGCTTGAATGTAGCAGCTTGGAATGCAAGTCCTCTGCCTGCTATAATTCTTTTTGGCTTGCCTGAGTCCTTGAACACCTTTTATAATGTTTTTATGGAATCTTCACTCGTCTTTTTCTTCAACGAACAGAATTTTACGTACTTAGAGAAACTATCTTATACAACAAGAATTTGTGTCTTTTCTTGAGACGCGACCAATGGGCCTGCATGTTCAATATGCCACTTGTGTATTTTTCCGTTGGCCTAGACACAAACCATTTCTTTTTCCTGTATGTGATTCTTCTTGCAGACAGTCTTAATACATACTTTTTTGCACATCGTGTCATACCTTTCCAGTTTACGTCTTCCCTCATAGTTAACAACATTTTCTCGTACTCAGGATGCGATGAAATGTTGTGATAATTTTTTAGAACCATCAGTCGAGCTGCTTGCGGGATATAACAAACATCAATGAAAAATACAAGACCATCCTATAGCTGTAGCCCTGCTGGATTTCTTTGCGAGTTATAATAGCTTTGTTCCAACACGTCAAGAAACCGTACAATGTACCGTCACGATTCTGCGCAAAGCCAAAAATTTGTGCGTAGAACCCGAAATTCGTATACAGAGTGGTTTCGAAACCGTTCAATGAGTCATCTTTTCACTAGAGCGATATTCTATCTTGAACTCGAAATCTTGCACCTCAATCCACGAGCGAGCATTCGTGGGTGCAGTTCTTTTTTGAGTGCTGTAGCTCTTTCAGAATTGCAATCAGTATATATTGTGAACTCTCTACCATACAAATATACTCGAAAGTGTTCGACTGCCGTTACGATTGCCAGCGTTTGCAAGTCGTAGGAATAGTATTTCCACTCACACTCACACGATGTTTTTCGACTGCAGTATGCAACTGGTCTGGTACATCCTTATTCGTCTGGAGTAGAATTGCTCCAAGACCCAGCGCACTGGCGTCAGTATGTAACTGCGTTACAAATTCTGGATTGAAGATCTGCAGGATAGGCTCGTTGATCAGTAGCATAATCAAATTCTGTCGAACCTCTTCACACTCTGGTGTCCAGGTGAAATCAGCGTTTTTCTTTAGTAGTGCTGTTTTGTTCGCGAACCCTTGAATAAACTTTCGAAAGTAACCGGCAAGTCCCATCAGTTGTCTCACTCCTTTGACATCCTTTGGCGGCATGGTGTTTTGGAGTGCCCTCACTTTTCTTGGGCTAGGTTTCACTGTGCCATTTTCTATAACAACTCCCAAATATTCAGTACGAGTCTGGAAAAAACTGCGTTTTCCAAGATTTAGTCTGAATCCGGCGTGCGAAAGTGCTCGTAGGACTTACTCAAGTTTCTCCAGTCTTTCAGCCACCGTTTTACTGAGAGTTAGCACATCATCCAAATAAACGAAAGCTATATTTTCCTTCAACTTTACAAGAGCCTTGTCGATTGCTTTCTGGTAGCATGAAGGCGAGTTTACGAATGCGAATGGCATCCTCGTGTATTCATAATGTCCATCTGGAGTTATGAACGCAAGAAGATGTCTCGACTTCTTTTCCACCAGAACTTCATGAAAATATACCTTCATATCAAGTGTACTATAATATTTAGCAGTGCCCAATGCATCAATTTGGTCCTGAATTTTTGGCAAAGGATAAGGATTTTCACAACTTTTCTATTAAGGTTTCGATAATCGACGCAAAGGCGAAGATACCCCTTCTTTTTCTTAACTAGGACAATCGGGCTTGCATATTCAGATGTACTTTCTTGAATTATGCATTCGCTTAAAAGTTCTTCAATTATTTTTAAAAGCTGCATCCTTTCAGCATAGACTAGAGGTCGTTTCATCCTTGAAGAAGATCGTCAGGTGTCCTACTGCTGGTGGAGATTCTTCCATAGCTTCCCTTAACATCTTCTTTATTTTTCTTTCCACTGTCTCGTCCATTCCTGACGTCTGTTGATTATCATTGATTTGTTGCACATATCGTATTGCTGCGTCAGCATTATGTTGCAAGTATAATCCATTACTTGTCTTGATCAGCTTGAAACCAGGCCTACTGGAAACGTCCCATCCAATCATAGCGTCCAAAATATCAGGGATGGTGACGTCAGCAACTATCAAAAACTCCAAGTCCTGTCAATTTTCTTTCACTAGAAGTGGTGGTAGCACCCAGCTGATTTGCAACATCTTCATGTAATAATGAGATTTCAGCTCCCGTGTCCAATAGATAACTAAACTTCTCATTATTTTTACTAATTGCTGTGGCTATTGTTATCTTATCCAGGTATCGCCTCCCTTTGACAAGCAAAATTCTTCTTCTCGGTATCAGCCATTTTCTTATTCGGGAATCCAATTTTGAAATAACACTTTTCCTTCGTGTGTCCTATCTTTTTGCAGTGCGTACACACATTGGTGATGGTGCCCCTATTTCCTTTGAACACAGAGAAGGATGTATCTGCTGTTTGTGTTTGTTTATACATTCAAAAGATTTATGCCCAGGCTTGTTACATTGATAGCAGGTTTCAGTGAATTTCATTGTTTTTGTTCCAGCGCGTTCCTAAGGGTACGGCTCGTACCTGTTTCTTCGAGTCCGTCCAGCTTGAAAATTCCTATCAAGCTGACTTCTTGAAGTCTGTTGCTCGCTGCTTTGCCTCTGTTTTTCATTGTCCCTTTCGCTCATGAGCAAAATCGTTTCCCTTTCATTTGGTGGTTTTGTTAATCGCAGTTCAGTCTTGGCTTCGGTGTCATCCATACATCCATCAATAATGCTAAGGGTAACTGCCCACGGATATTCGAATTCATATGCATATTCTGGATCTGACGTAACTTTGAGTGACAAATGTTTTGTGGCGACAAAAATCTGAAAGCGTATCGAATTCACTGGTTCTTGTCATGATAATCGCATGGTGTCTAAAGGGCCCCACAGACTATGTTTTTGTTGGACGGATTTGTTCGACGAGCAAATCTGGTCGAGCAAAAACGACGCAAAACCGAAGTGTGTGTGCGAAAAATTGTCGTTTTTGCTGGCATACAAAACCGATGCAAATATCTGGCTTCGCCTGATTTTGTCCGTCGGATATGTTCGATATGTCAACAAATCTGAAGTGTGTGGGCTACAAATTTTAAAAACAACGGTTTTGTGTGGTGTATGGTGCGTATAGCTACATAATTTTACTTTATTGAAATTAAAAAAAGATTAGAAACTTTCTAACATGCCTGATCTTCGCCAAACTAAACCGAGGTCTGTGGGCAACTCCGATCCGTCGTTTTTGCTCGTCCAGATTTGCTCGTCGAACAAAACCGTCAAACAAAAACGCAGTCTGTGGGGGCCTTAATGTAAGGCGTATCCACTACTGGAATATGGAAA